CACTTTCAAACTAGTCTGAGATCCCTGGATGAAAGAAGCCACAGAGTCGTTATAGCAGTTCATAAAAATGGGCCAGAAGAGTGAATACCAGCTCTTTGCCAGCTGCCCCCTCTCCCCACCCTCCGTGGGTACCCGTATGGGTCTCAGCACCCACCCACCAACCTGACCCCTCCCAGCCTCTGCAGAGGATGGAGTCTGATGCGTGCTCAGCTCCTGTAGAACCTCCCAGAGGAATGGCTCAAAGGGACACCACCCACATACCCTGCTCCACTCCAGCCACTAATAGCCCCAGGAACACCATCCACTAGGCAGCAGGTCCCCGGGCAGCCCTGAGATGTGCTGACCCAGGCAGAGAGACAAGATGCGCCCCAGCAGCTGACATGGGAAACATGGAACTGTGCAGAGTCACACATCCTTCACCGCAGGCTTCCTGTGATACCCCTTCTTCTTCTTCCCTCAAGTTTCCCTTGTGAAGGACCTGAGATTCCCCTTCCCAGAAAGCCCAAGGCATGCTTCGTCTCACACTCTGGGTCTTTTGTGGACCCTCGAAGGTTGCCACCTAAAACAGAGAGAAAAGAGGCACCCAAGGCTTCTTGGGACTACAGTTCTAGCCTCCACCATGCCCTGTTCTCCAGAGCTGCCCAACACGAGGCTGGGGACTGGCCAGGCCCTTGTGTTGAGACCAAGCCCAGATAGGATAGGGTCTGGGGCTCTGTCCCTCCAGCCTGGATCCCAGCAGGTGGCCCAAGAGGAGCTGATCTGCTTCCTGGGGTGAGCCTGCCCCCTGCAGGGCCCAGGCAGGACCAACAGCCCCATCACTGAGCGCCACAAGTTCACTGCCGCATCCGTGGGGTGGAGCCTGAGGGAGAGGGAGGCACCTTCTGCTGCTGGTGCAGGGCAAGGTGGCTGAAGCAGCCATGAGCCAGAGGCAACTCAGCAATTAGCCACCCTTGGGTGGGCACCTACCACGTGGCAGCACTTGCCTCCAGAGCCTGACCAGCTCTGAGGCACTGGGACGCCACAGGAACATTCCGAGGTTGATGCCCATGTCCCCTGAGCACTGGCCTTAGAAGGGAGCCTCACTTCTTTCCCTAGATTCCCAGGGCTGACCACTTGACTCTGACAGAAGGCCAACCACGGTCTTGGAAAGCGCCTTGAAACACGGATCCCCGCTCTCATGATAGGGCACTTCACCAGTCTGGTCCTCAGTCTTCAAATGTGTGAAATGGGCACAATGGTACCAACTCGTGGGCTTGTTATAAAGATGAAATAAAGAATGAAAAGGAGTTTGGTAAAGAGTCAAGTGCTAGACACATTGTTCTTCTCCCCTTTATTTTTACCCCCTCTGGGTTGGCATCTCTTGCCTTCATGTGTGCTCCATGGCAATCATGATGGAGTCTAGCCAGTCGCTCATAGCCGTAGCCCTGAGAAGCAGGGGTGTGAGTCCAGGGTGGGCGGGGCACCTAGACAACAGGGAGGGAAATATGGACCCAATAACGCTGATGAAGCTGTCCCCCTTCCAATGGCGACCACCTGCAGATGACAGGGAGAAAACTGAGTCCCGGTTGCAAAGTCTCACCCCTCAGCGGCACTACTGAGGTAACCACCTCTTCCCAGTTTGGGAAGCCTCCTGGTTTGGTGGGCACAGCCCCTCCTGGGCTTCCCTCCTGGCTTCCCTGGGACTCCCAATAGGGCCTCACTTTGTGGGGAGCCCAGATTCTCAGGGTCCTCCCTGGGGTCTGGGTGAAAGGGCCCCAGACCAGATCCCCCACCAGGCCCAGGGTCCGGCTCATTTCACTGCTCCACATGGACCACTAACCTCAAACCCCACCAGGCTCCTAAAACAAGCTCAAAAAAGTGGGGCTGCCCCCCTAAAGAGCCTTCGCCTAGGTCTCAGGGAGAGGGGCTGTTCCTGGCCCAGAAAGCCTGGGATATGGACCCCAGGGGCCTTGGATCAGCCATGGGGCTCAGCTCTGAGGGGCTCCTCTGGCCCAGGTCCCTCCCTCAGCCTGGGGGACACCCCTTCTCTGGGTGATCTCAGTGCAGTGCGCCTCCTTACTTCTTTCATCCCTGTGGCTCATCTTTAACCACTCTGTGGTGGATCCATTCTCTCATCCTCCATCCAGCAGGTTTACTGAGCTCCTAGAACATTCTGGGTATGAGGAGGAGGTTGACCACAAAGAACTGCCCTGCAAGAACTCACAGTTAGGGAGGAGAGGGGGAAAGCTCTCATTTACTGAGCACCTGCTGTGTGCCGGGGACTGCTCTAAGCACTTGACTTTGAGCCTCCAAGGGCAATAGTGCTGGGTGGGGGTGAGGAAAGTGAGCCCACAAGGTAAGCCTCTTGGCCAGGGTTAGGAACACAGCGTGCAGCAGAGCTGGGACACACAGATGTTCTCCAGAACCGGTGGCCCTCATGCCCTCCTCTCCAATAACTGCTGCGATCGTCATCAACACACGAGGACAGATAGGGACCATGGGGAGGCTGTGGGGACAGATCGGAAATGCTGGGAGTGGTGGGGGGAGACCAGAGAAGATGAAGCATACGCTGAGCTTTGAAGGTTACAATCACTTGTTTTTGGGGGGTGTCTACTCCCTCTGCCCTGTCAATCAGTCCGTGAGCTCCTTGAAGACAGACGCCACCTTTGCCCTTCTCTCCAGGTCCCCACACTGGGCCTGTCACACAGCAGGCACTCAACAAATAGCAGCTGACAAAACTGAATCACAGACAGGTACAAAGGTGTCAGGAGTGGAGGCCAGGTCCTGTTTCTCTTTGACACCCACCTCAGCTCAAGCACAGTTCTGGGCATGGGAGCTAGAACCTGGCCCTGCCTATTCTGCTGGAGGTGGGATCTGAAACCATCTGGCTTAGTCAGCCAGGTGGGCTGTGTCTGAGTGACCCCTGTGGGACAAAGCCAGCCTGCTGAGCCCACAACAGTCTTGGGATTGGAGGAGGAGAGGGAGGACAAAGAATGAGGGGAGTAAACTGGGCAGGGGGCTGGAGAAGGGAAGAGAGAGAAAATGAGGAGGGGGCAGGGAAACGGGACAGCTGGCAGGGGCGGCAGAGCCCACCCATGTTCTGGCCTAAACCCCACAATGGAAACTAGATGGCATCGGACAGACACTGCCCAGTTCATTCATCATCTGTGCCTCCTGCTGGTTAGCGGGGCTGAACCCCGGCAGCAGACCAGCCCTGAGACAGCCGGGCCCTCCAACCCCAGGGTCAACGCTGTACAGGCGCAGGCTTGCACACACCTGAACACACCCCACACTATCCGGGGGCCACAGGGGACGGGATGTTCATCTCAGGCAGAGTGTTGAATAAAAACCTGGTCATCTCCAATAACACTAAGATGGGGATCCAGAGAGAAAGAGTGGAGGAAGGTCAGACTGAGGTCACTCAGAACAAGGGCCCAAGGTTCCCAGCCACATGGCTGGGTCACCGAGAGCGGTTTGCCCTGGCAGGACAGCAGGGAGTGAGGAGGCAATTATAGAATTCAGGGCTGGAGAGAGGCAGGAAGAGGCCTGGGGTCCCTAAGCCAGGGAGGAATTGGTGTTTTCCTCAGTGGCGGTGGGTAGCTATGGAAGCTTTGCTAGGCCAGGAGGAAGACTTTCCATTTCCAGCAATCGTCCGCATTGGAGTGTGGGACAGAGATGCAGGAGAAGTTCAGACTGGAGGCAAGGAGGCCAGGGAGGCTGTGAGGACATTATAGCTAACAGCAACCACAAGATGAACTTGGAAGGGAAATAGGGATTGAAGAGGCCAAGGTGACTACTGGGCTCCTGGCTTGGGTTTCCAGGTCCTCTGGAATGGGGGACCAGGAAGGCACAGATCTGGGAGGATGAGGGGTGCTCCTTCCGACAAGTAGATCTGAGGAGGCAACAGCTAGTGTAGTGGGCGTGAGAGTCTGGCGCGGAGGAAAGGGGCCTCCCTGGAGTGTCATCAAAATGTTTTGGCAATTTTGACCAAGGACATGTTCCAGATGGGCCAAGGGGAGAGTGAAAAGGAGACAGTGTGCCTGTGCAGAACCCAGAGGACCAGACTCCATGTAAGGAGTGAGCAAAGCAAGAGGAGGTTGCAAGTCTGAGCTGGGATGAGAGAGGCAAGGGCACAGAGCTGCGGAGGGGAATTGGGGAGGAAGGTCAGCTCAGATGGAGGCTACTCATTGAGTCACGTGGCTGATGCATTGAGTGCTGGGGTAGGCCGGGAGCTAGGAGCAACTGAAGGTCTGGATGTCCCTCATCTTAAAAGAAAAAGGCTCTGGGGGAGCCTGGGCGGCTCAGTCAGTTGATCATCTGTCTTCAGCTCAGGTCATGATCCCAGGGTCCTGGGATGGAGCCCTGCATGGGGTCCTTGCTCAAGCAGGAGTATGCCTCTCCCACTGCCCCTACCCCCTCATGTGCGTGCATGCGCTCTCTCTCTCTCTCTCAAATAAATAAATAATCTTAAAAGAAAGAAAGAAAGAAAGAAAGAAAGAAAGAAAGAAAGAAAGAAAGAAAGAAAGAAAGAGAGGAAGAAAGAAAGAAAGGAAAGAAGGAAGGGCTCTGCAGAAAGCAAGGAGGCAGAACGCTGGGCCTGGGGTAATTGTCTTGGGTCTCCTCCTTCAATCAGCCCTGCACTGGCTCCTTGAAGCTTGCCACAGAGCCCTCTGTGCCTCTTTCCCACATCTCCCCATCACCTGACACTACTAGAACCCGTTGCTGCCGTATGTTCTACAAGGTGTAGAACTGGTTCCCGTGTTCCCCCATGTCTCCAGTTCGCCCCATTTGTCTGCGTTTGCTGAGCACCATCATCGATGAGCCCCGATGGCTGGTCCGGGTGCCTTGTGTCCTTTCCAGCCAGGAGCTCCCTGGGCCAGACTTGTTGGGTGGGGGGGGGTCACCCAGCCAACGTCACCCATTCACCCACCGCTCCAGATCAGGGCCTTGGCAGGTGCTACCCTCAGAGACCAGACCAGAATCAAAAATACAGTTGCAAAAAAGCAGGAAACTTTATTGAATTATCTTTTGTTTTGAGTAGAGAAGCTGAGAAGCCTGAGGAACCAGGTAAGGGAGAAGAGGAAGCACACGGGGAGAGAAGCAGGGAGCGCCTGCCCTCAGGAAAGTGCGGGGCCAGGGTGCATCTTGCGGTCTCCCCCTTTCTCCAGCAGGGACCCATCAGCTCTCTCCTCTGGATGCTGAAGACAGAGGGAGAGGATGCCGAGTGGATTTAAAGCCTATGGGTGTCTGAAATGCGGCGACCGGAAGAGGAGCTGCTGGTGGTGGTGACTGTGACGCTGGTGTTCGCTGAGACATGGAGGGGGCAAGACATACTCAAGCTGGAGAAGACCCACCTCGGCAGGTCAGGGTCCCCCAGGAGGGCCCCAAGCCCCCTCATGGGTCAGGTTGGAGGTCAGTTGATAGGGACTCGTGTTATTGTCCCCAAAGCTGGCTCCCTCCAAAGTATGCCAGTGGGATATATCCCAGTGGGCAGACCTAGCTATTTTGCAAAGAAAAGAGACGAGCAAATGGCCATGTCCCCCAGAGCCCCCTCCCTCCCTCCCTACACAGCCTATCTCCCAGCCCCCCAGGGCAGTGAACAGGAGCCGAACTCACCCCTCCCCACCCCTGGGGTTGTCTCCTTACCTCCCGAGGAGGTCAGGCCAGCCATCCTGGGAGAGAGGAGAGAGGTCATGTGAGCAGAAGGCACCGGAGGACAGTGGCTCACCTGTCCTCAGAGGGAGCAACTCAGATCATCATTCAGAGCCCCTGAGTTGGGCTTTTTTACCAACTCTGCCCTTAGCCAAAGGGGCAGCAGCTGGTACCTGCCAGGCCTGTCCGCTGTTTGTCTCGGGCCCCAAATCCAGCACATTTGTTGGAAGTTTTTCCTCCCTCTGGTCCATTTGGTACCACTCCCCTCCCACAATCCCTCCCCCTGAGCCCACAAGGATGGCCTAGTCCTTGTAAACGGTCTGAAGGGAGTTAAAACACCACATTCATAGCTTTGTTCAGCTGACCTGAACCCAAGGTAATATTCTTCCAATATGAGATGTTCTGTCCGTGGTCCCTATTCCTGCCCATCTAATCCAAAGGCCCAAACTACAGAGTTTAAAGGGACAGACCCTGTGGCCTGCTGAGGAAATGCCCCCACAGTCTGATTCTAGAAAACAGGGAGCTCTGGTCCTGGATCTGCATCCAGTCTAAGCTCAGAAGGTCCCCTTCTGGGAGGGCCATGAGGACCTGATCCCTAAGGCCCTGCCCACTCGGCTGTCCAAGGGCCCTGTGGTCACCTTCCCAAGAGGGAGACTTGAGAGGCCCCACCTGGCGTCCTGGCCCTCCAGCAGGCTGCGGTAGGTGGCGATCTCCTGCTCCAGCCGAGACTTGATGTCCAGCAGCGTCTTGTACTCCTGGTTCTGGCACTCCATCTCACTGCGGAGCTCGCTCAGCTGGGCCTCCAGGCTGCTGATGAGCCCCTGAATCTGCTGCAGCTGCGTGGCGTAGCGGCACTCCGTCTCGGCCAGTGAGCCCTCCAGCCCGGCTTTCTGGGGGGGCAACAAAGAAGTGATGAGGGGAGACAGGCCAGGCCAAGGCTGAGAGGCGGTGGCTGCCGGACGGAGGGCCTCGGGTGTACCATGCTGAGCTGGGACTGCAGCTCGATCTCCAGGCCCTGGAGCGTGCTCCTCAGCTCCGTGATCTCTGTCTTGCTGGTCTGGATCATGGCAGTGCTAGAGGACACCTCCTTGGTCAGCTCTGCGCTCTGAAATTAGAGCGGGAAGAAGGTCATGGAGGAGCCCCGTGGAAGGCCCAGGCAGCCCCCGGCTCCGTGGGGTAAGAAGGCTGGGCACCTTGCTGTGGAACCATTCCTCGGCATCCCGCCGGTTCTTCTCCGCCATGGCCTCGTACTGCTCCCTCATCTCGGCCAGCACGCGGGTCAGGTCAATGCCCGGGGTGGCGTCCATCTCCACGTTGACCTGACCTACCACCTGACTGCTGAACTCCTTCATCTCCTACAGCGATGGAAGAGGAAGACACATGATGCTCCCCGTCCTCCTCCTCCTTAGCTCTGAGGGCTACCAGCATGTTCCGGGAAGCACTTCCGGGTCCCCCAGCAGAAGGCTAAGTCTGGCTGCTCCCCTTTCTCACTGAAGGTGATTCAGCCATGGCAGCCTCTGCCCACGCTCACCTCCTCGTGGTTCTTCTTCAGGTAGGCCAGCTCCTCGTTCAGGCTCTCGATCTGCATCTCCAGGTCGGCCTTGGACAGGGTCAGCTCGTCCAGCACCCGCCGCAGGCCGTTGGTGTCGGCCTCTACGCTCTGGCGCAGGGCCAGCTCATTCTCGTACCTAAAGGATTTTTTTTTTTTTTTTTTTTTTGGAAAAGCAACACAGAAATGATATTGGACCCTCCCCTACTTCTGCACTGGAGTCTCCAAGACCTTCATGCCTGGGATGCTCCGATTTCAGTGTTCAGATGAGCCTCTGTCTCAAATAAAATTTGGAAAGACCAGTGGGGACAAGGAACTCACTTGAGCCTGAAGTCGTCCGCCGCCAGCCGGGCGTTGTCGATCTCCAGGATGACCCGGTTGTTGTCGATGGTGGCCGCCAGGATCTGCAAAACACAAAGGGTCATCACGGGAGGGTCCACGAGCCGGAGGAAGAGGAAGGGAAAACACAGGCGGGGCTGTTGTTCTCAGACACCTGGGTGCCTGATAAGGCACCAGGGTAAGGCCCTGCTCTCTGAGATCGGTGAAGTGAGGGGCCGGGCGGGTCCCTCCTCTGAGTCTGTCACTCTGACATTCTATCTACGCCTGGTCATGACGGGGAATATCGGAATGTACATTTCAGGGGAATGACGCTGCCCGGGACTTCCTTGGTTAGTCATGTCTTGAAGGCCTCAGACTAGCCACCTCTCTCGCTCACCATGGGGACAGCCTTCTCCTTAAGGTCAGGAGGGGGTCAGCCTGGGTCCACACAGCTCATAGTAAGCTCACTGGAGCTGGCCTCCTGGCTAAGCAGAAGGAAGAGCCAATAAACACCGCCGTCCACTTGAATTCCTTGTCTAAACTCTCATACACCGAAGCAGTTAAAAGCCACCCCACACAGCTGGGACCCAGCCCAGGCTGGTGGATTTCTGTTCCAACAAGCTGGGACCCCAGCGTGACAGATAGGCCTTGATGAGGCAATCTCAGCTCAGCTTAGCACGACCTAGGCCTCTGCCTCCCCCTCCTGCTCCTCCTAGCCAGCTGAGAATAACAGTTTAAATGGGACCCCTACAAAGTCAACGAGTATTCCAGACCAGTATTCCTTTCTCTGCTGATTTGAGTCATTCTTAGTGGTTTTTAAAACTGTCATGGTTTCCAAACATCTCCGTGGGTTAGAATTATAGGGATCAATTCATTAATAATAACATAACTGTTTAGGAAGCGGTAAAAATGTTGACGTGAGTCATAACAGTAAAAGAATGCGTTTGGGGAGCAGTGGCCTAAGAAAGCTTATCAGGAGTAGAGACGCTTGGTAGTAAAAGACTAGAATTTTCCTCCAAAGGCGGGGTGAGGATTCCACCACGCTCCATCTTCTGGTCCTTTGGGATGCCGTGTTCCCTGGCCTTTGCAGCTCTGCCCTGCAGGAAGAAAGCTCGCCAACACCCGAGGACTCACCTTGTCGCGGAGCTCCTCAATGGTCTTGAAGTAAGGGCTATAGTCCCGCTCCGGGCTGCTGGGGCTCTGCTTCTGGTGCCAGTCCCGGATCTTCACCTCCAGCTCCGTGTTGGCCTCCTCCAGGGCCCGCACCTTCTCCAGGTAGGAGGCCAGCCGGTCGTTGAGGTTCTGCATAGTGATCTTCTCGTTGCCAGAGAGGAGGCCTCCATCACCACCACCGTAGTCACCAAAGCCACCGCCAAAACCCCCACCAAAGCCACCGCCAAGGCCACCTCCAAGACCACCTCCAAGGCCACCTCCAAAGCCACCTCCAAAACCACTACCAGCCCCTCCACCAAAGCCGCAGCTCATGCCACCCCCATAGCCCCCAGCTGACCCCCCAGAGACAAAGCGGGTTGAGCAGGCAGAGACACTGCGGCCTCCTCCTAGCTGGCAAGAGCCACCCCCAAAACCACCTCCATAGCTGGCGGAAGAGCTCTGCAGGCGGCAGCTCATGGTGAGAGCAAAAGAAGGAGCAGGTGTGGACAGGAGCCGGGCTTGGCCTGGGCCGAAGACTGTGGCTCTTCCCCAGAGTGGGTGCCTTTTATACTGTCCTCCACCAGGTTGAACAATTGCCCCATCTTCTCTCCTCCCTTCCCCACCCTCTGACTGCTGCCAGCTGCACTCTGTTTCCCACAAGCCCAGTTACCTCTGCTCTCCAAGGTGGGTTGTGCCTTTGGGGGTGGCTTTTTTTTTTTTTTTTAATCCTTAACAAAAGGGATGATTCAGAGGGCACAGTGTTCTGCCTGAGACTACCCTTTTGACAGCTGAATTCCACTTCAGCTCTGCACTTAGGGAGCTCACTCCGCAGGCTCTCAGCTCCACCCAGTATTAGAATGGGGACAGAGCTGCGAGGTGGCCCTGTGCTTTTACAAAGTCACCGCAGCCCTCAGCTCCCTTCTTTCTATTTCTAAATCCTCAGACTAGGATATTCTGCATTCTTCTTAGCATTTCTCCTACTCCAGTGCTCCCAGCGAATCTGTTGACAAACTTAGCTTGGTCCTGTAGAATTGACCACCTTGAAGCTGTTTAGGCTGGTGGCGGGCAGCGGGGGAGCGCCAAGACAATCCGATAAAGTCCCAGCAACAAGGGAACTTAGGGACCATCTAACACAGCTGGGGAAACTGAGGCACAGAATACAGAAGCAAGCAGCCCGGCACATCATAACAGCTAACACACTCAGATCCCTCACCATAAGCAGGCGCAGAGCTAAGTATACTCGCTGTGTCATTCAATCTTTGCAGCAACCTAGTGAGGCAGGTCCTACAAGTCACCCCGTTTTACACATGGAGAAACCAAGGCTTAAGAGTAGTCAGGACTAAAACCCAAGTTGGGTTCACACTGACACAAAGACTCCTTTTCTAAGTATATAATTCATACGGTAAATTGTACAAACTATCAGTGTCCAACTCAGTGCATGCTTACTTATGTAGGAAGCTTCAAACACGCGTTCACCTGTGTACCCAGCACCCAGAACATTTGCAGCACTCCATAAAGCTCCCTGTACCCTTTCCCAGTCAATTACCTACACCCCCTGCCCCTAACAAGACCACGATTCCCACTTCTGCCCCCCTAGATTAATTCGAAGATCTTGGCTAAGGGCTCTTTTTCTCCCTAGAGAACATTTGACAATGCCTGGAGACATTTCAGTTGCAACAACAGGGGGATCCTACAGGTATCTAGAGGACAGAGACCAGGGATACTGCTAAATATCCTACCATGCCCAGGACAGCCCCCACAACAAAGAATTCCCCAGCCCAAAAGGTCAATGGTATGGAGTTGAGAAGGGCTGGATCAGCCTGGCCCCGGTGTTCAATCATACCCTCATATCACCTGCCTTCGAGGCGTGGTTGAGCATGGAAAGGAAGTCTTAGAATGCCTGACAGGGCTCCTTCTAGCCCCCCGGTCACGGGACATCTGTCCAGCTCGTGAGCGCTTGACCAAGAGGCCACATGGGAGGATACGGTCTCTGCCGAGGAGCCTCAGACATAGCTAAAACTCAGGTACTGCTTAGTCTCCCTGCCAGAGAAGGTTTCAGGCCCGAATAAAAGGGCCTAGAGGTGGCCTCTCAGAGACCAAGTTAGATGGAGAAGTTTCCAGGGCTAAGAATGGAGAACTCTGGACTCAGGCTCCAACTCCCACTCACCAAGGCGGCCAGACTTACCATGAATGGCCTCTCAGGGGCAGCCTGCTGGCCCACAGCAGCCAGGGGGTCTGCACCAGGCTAAGGACTGGGTAGGGTGACCCAGGCTCGAAGGGATCCCGAGAACCCCTTTGCTGATTCAGCAAGCCAGGAAACAAGGCTCAGAGTCAGGGCTTTCCTGCCCTTCGTCTTCTGCAGGTAGGGAAGTAGGCCTATGTTTCATCCAGCAGGTGTCAGCACCAGGGAGGGGGTCACGGCATGCTTGGGGTCTCACAGGGAGGCCAGGGCTTCAGGCTGACCCTCTGACCCTGCCCAGCCCTGCTGCCCCAAACTGACAGCTCAGCGCTCTCACTCTCTGAAAAGCTGTGTGATTCAGCCCAAAGCAGGAGCTCTCAGGCTCTCCCTCTCTTCTCGCTCTCAGTAGAGGATCAAAACTGACAAAAAGGTGATTAATAAAACCTGCCAGGCCTGGAGTGACGATCCTCCCCCCAGGGCTGACAGTGGGCTGAGACCAACGCCTCTTAGAGGAACAATGCCCCAGATCTTCCAAAGTCCCAGTAGTACAAACATTGGGGGGGGGGGGTGACATGCCTCCCTTGCACTGTCAGGGCACCGTCCCTCCCCTCCCCTCCCATCCCCTCCCCGAGCAGGTACTTACAGTGCATAACACAGGAATGTCTTCCTCTGACCCACGGTGAACCCCAGGGCCCTTCTGGAGGAAGCTGTGCAAGGACCCATCCTGGGGCCCCAGTTTCACCTCTCCTGGCCCTGCTCCTGATGGGGCAGGACAGAGTCCTGGGGCTGAGACTCCTTCTTTGCTTTCTGACAAAATCACACCAACGTCATAAGAGGAGGGGAAGCCCCATGTGTAAGCAGCCCCCACAAACAAGGCGGGCTTCACACACTGTCACTGGGACCTCACGACAAGGGGCGAGGGGTGTTCTTGGCCCCATTTTACAGCTGAGGTTTGGGGAGGCCAAGTTACTTGCTCAAGGTCACCATGAAGGCAAGGTTCAAAGCTCGTTTCTGGCTCTCTCTACCCCGACTGATGGTGCCTTGGAGCCTTGCTGTGAACTCAGTAGATGATCTCTGAATGTTACATTCTATATTTTTTAAAGATAATAAAATGACATTAGCTAATATTTCTTGAATGCTGTGTTAGACACTCTACCTGTGTGACCTCAAAAGAACTCTATGGCATTGGTCACATCCCCTTTTCACCTGCGGACGCTGAAACCCAGAAAAGTCTGAATTCCTTGCCCAAGATCCGAACCTCTGGATCCAGGGTCTGCATCCTTCGCGCCTGCGTGCTAACGCCCCTTCAGGCCAGCCTCAGCACCACCCCACCCAAGCAGGGGCATCTTCTGTCACCCACCACGCTCCCAGGCTTCCTGACACTGCAGGCCAGCAGCTAGGGGGTCCTGTTTCCCACAGCAGCTGGGCCTGTGCAGTTGATGGCCTGATGGGGCAGCCTGTCTGCTCTCTGACCTGGTGTGAGCTCCAAAGCTTGGGGGCTTGCGAGGTGCTCAATGCAGAATGTCAAAGTTGTCCCAGAGTTGTCCCAGACCCAGAATGCCAAGGCCCAAGGCAGTAGGAAGCAAGGAGAAACGTGCGGCTTTCCATCTCTCCCACCAGCTCCCTGGGGGCCTTATGTTGAATGATTTCTAAGTCTCCCTGTGCAATGCCTTTCTGGGTCTCTGGTTCTCAAGGATTTGCCCAAAGTTGCCAGATTGTTCACCTGCACAGCTGAGGCTTCGATCCTGTCCCCCAAGCTCTGAATTCAGGGATCCTCGATTGGCTCTTGGATCAGGCTCCTCCCTGCTTATCTCTTTCCCTAGACCACATAGGGTCTAGAGCGCAGGATGGCTGACCCACTTCCCAAAATGTTTCGAGGCTTCCCCGTGGAGAAAAGGAGCCTCTCATGAAAAGCAGACCTTCCCCAGACAGTGAAGCTGGGCCATCTGGTCAGCCGTCCTCACCCTCAGAGACACCTGCTTCCCATAGCAGTACTCAGCAGCCTTCTCCTGCCAAGTGTCAAGGCCCCCAGTCCTCACATACCTATAATCCCCAGCTTTCTTTTTTTTTTTTTAAGATTTTATTTATTTATTTGACAGATAGAGATCTCAGGTAGGCAGAGAGAGAAGAGGAAGCAGGCTCCCTGCTGAGCAGAGAGCCCGATGTGGGGCTCGATCCCAGGACCCTGAGATCGTGACCTGAGCCGAAGGCAGAGGCTTTAACCCACTGAGCCACCCAGGCGCCCCAATCCCCAGCTTTCTAAAATCCTTTACAGGAACCCAGGGAGGTCGCCAGAGGCTTTGAATTAGGTGGAACTGAGTTTCAAACCTGTATCTGCCATCGACTGGCTGTGTGACCCTGGGAAAGTTATTCAGCCTTTCAGTGGTTTGGTGGCCACAGCTGAAAACCAGACATTAGATGAGTTAGCATTGGAGAAGTGCCTGACATGCGGGAAAACTTGGCAGGCAGAAGGTCTCTAGCTAGGCTCTCCCTTTTACAAAGGAGGAATTTCAAGCTCATCCTTGGGTCGTGACCTGTCCTGGGCCTCCATTCTGGGCCAGTTTGCTGTGCTTCTCTCTCTGGTCCCTTCAGCCAGCAAGGTGCCCACAAGGACCAGACAAGTGACAGTTGGTGGCATTCCTATCTTATTTCACCAATTCGGCTTTACATTCCCTGAGGAAAAGGTCTTTGAGTAGCCCCAAATACTACTCCAGCAAAGGGAGACTTTGCTGGCTTTAGGAGAGAAGAGATGGGGGCCAAAACAAGTACCCAGCGGGGTCATCCCAGCCGCAAATCTCACAGGAGAAACTGCCAGCCCCTGATTTCCCCCCATGCTGCCAGTTGCCTGTGCAGGGACAGGTGACCACCAGACCCACACTCACCCAAAATAGTAGGGAATGGCCAGAGCCATGTCTAAGGCAGGAAAAAGCAAAGAAGCAAGGTCATGCATTAATTCAATGAATATTTATGAAGCTCCCACTCCAAGAGCTCAGAAGTGCAAGGAGGAGACACTGCCCCTGATGTCACCAATCTCACAGGCCAGGTTCCCCTCTGAGTTTCCACAATACAGATGAACTCATAGAGAACCTTGATTCTGGTCCAGCCAGCCTCCCCAGTTTAAAGCTGAGGACACTGAGACCCGGAGAGGGACAGGGACCTGGCAAAGTCCCCAGGGAGATGCATAGTCATGCCCTGTGCCTGCTCTGGGAAGCCTAGCCTCGCCTGAGACTAGCCTAAGTCCCTAATGCCTGGCCCCAAAGCTAGCCTCTCTCTCAGGGAGAAGGGAGGCCTGCTGCCTGCTTCCCAGATTGGTTGGAAACCAAGCCGGACCTCAGCCCAGGGGCAGGCAGAAGGCGGGCCATCTCTGCCCAAAGACTATTTAAAGGGCTCAGCCAGGAACAAGCTATCCCGGGGTGTGAGTGTCTCTCTCCAGGGTCAGGCAGGAAACAGGATTTGGCAAGTCCAAGGACCTCTCTCGGACCCCAGGATCCCTGGAGAGCAGGAATGGGCCCTCCAAGGAAACAGAAGCAGCTTTCCCTCTCCAGCCCAGGGTCTGGCCTGAGAGAAAGCCCGCTGGATGAGGAGGGAGCCCCACCTTGCCTCTCTGCAGCTTTGCAGAGGTTATTTTGGCAAACTACGGGCTGAGAAAACCCTTTGTGGGTTGCTTTGAAGATCTGAGACTCCTCGAGAGAGGCCCGGAGGCCAGTGAAGCAGGAGCAGCAGTCAGGCCGTTGGGCCTGGGAGACCCAGGAAGGGGTCTGGCCATTTTCAGGATGTCAGGGACATGACCGCTTCAGCATGAGCTTAAGCCCCATTGTGAGAGACTGAGAATGATCTTTTTAGCAGTAATGGCTGGATGACATTTGAACAGGCTTCCCACAGAGGTGAAAAAAGGGGCTTCAGATTAACACACCCTCCTAAGAAAGATGTTGCCAGGGGCGCCTGGGTGGCTCAGTGGGTTAAAGCCTCTGCCTTTGGCTCAGGTCATGATCCTGGGGTCCTGGGATCCAGCCCCACATTGGGCTTTCTGCTCAGCGGGGGGCCTGCTTCCCCCTCTCTCTCTACACTCCTCTCCACTACTTGTGATCTCTGTCTGTCAAATAAATAAATAAAATCTTTCAAGGAAGGAAGGGAGGAAGGGAGGAAGGAAGGAAGGAAGGAAGGAAGGAAGGAAGGAAGGAAGGAAGGAAGGGAGGAAGGAAGGAAAAGAAAGAAATATGTTGCCAGTTTCCGTGACCTGCAAGACATCCAGGAAAAAGCAAAGGTCTGAACGCAGAGAGACCAGTCCCAGGCCTAGCCTCACGGATTCCTGGCTCATGCCTTCATGACCACACTTTTACAAAGCCTCTGGGGGAGCAAATCAGATGCTATCCATTGAATGCTCTGCCCAGAGCCCTGCATAGTGTAGATGCTTAATAACTTCTGTTCCATTCCTCCAGCTCCAGAGAAGTCTGTCCTCAGAGTGTGCACTCAGGAGATGTATTCTAGATTAAATCTCCCTCAGAAAAAAACAGGTGCCTTGCCCTCTCCAAACAGGATTGCTGGGCAAGGAGTTTCACCCAGCAAGACTCATGGGGGCCCTCTCAGAGGGCATGAATCTCCCCCCGAAAATGATCTGATTCTCAGGAGAAGAGAGGAACCTCCAACCTCCTCTTCCCAGCAGGACTAAGAAACCGGTTTTCCCTCTCCCCCCTGTCCTCACCAGAGCCCAGCCCAGCCACAGCACCGAGAGTTCTCAGCTTCCTCATTCCTTGCCCTCTGTCTGGGGTTATGAACCCCTGAGGAACCAGCGTCAGACCTGAGGCAGCAAATTAAGTGTGTGTGAATGTGGCTGCTCCAGTGAGCCCAAGGTCAGAGACGCTGGGTATGGGGGATCAGGAGCAGGGTTTGGACTGAGGAGGACAATAGGGGTTGATGTGTCTTTGGACTTAAGCTTGGAAAAATCACGGAGGGCTTCCTGGAGTTGGTGTCTTTCCCTCTGATTTCCCCTTAATTGCTTTATGGGAAGGAGACTGTGGCTTCAGGGGGTGAGAGGGTGGATAAGGTCCCTCTTTGCAGGAGGCAGAGATGTTAGGTGGCTCAGCCACTCTGGAGGTCAGGTGTGCCTGGAGGGGAAAAAAAGGGAGGTTCTAGGAACACATGTGGGAGGGCCAGAAATAAGGAGGAAGGTCCTGGTAATGACCTGTGAAGGGCCAAGGCCTGCGCTCCCGGAACAAGCGGTGGACTTTGAGTCATGCAGATATGGGGCCCAGTCCCAGCCCTGTTGTTCACTATCCATCCATGAGGCCCCTGGCAAAGTCATTCACCTCTCTGACTTCCTCATCTCTCAGATGGGAATCATAAATCCTGACCGCCCACAATCACATTAAATAAGACACATAGGTGGGGTTGCCTAGCACAGTGCGAACCCACACAAGGGTGAACCAATACAATCTATACAGTCAATTGTTTGGTAAATAATTGTTCAATGCGACAAGTACAGTGTTGGGTGCACCAAGATGTTCTGAGGACAGTCCCTATCCTGCTTCCATGATCACTGGTTGGAATAAGCCAGAAGAGCAAGTCACCTGTGCAGCCTGAGTTGGTCCTAGATGCCCTAGGCACCCCAAAGAGTGAATTAGGACCATACAGAGGAAAAGCTAAAGTAAAAAGAGATGTCAGCCTGTGGGTCCTAGACCCACAGAGGCCCCCAACAGAAAAACTGGACATGGGGCGCCTGGGTGGCTCAGTGGGTTAAAGCCTCTGCCTTCAGCTCAGGTCATGATCCCAGGGTCCTGGGATCGAGCCCCATATCAGGCTCTCTGCTCAGCAAGGAGTCTGCTTCCTCCTCTCTCTCTCTCTCTCTGTCTGCCTGCCTCTCTGCCTAATTGTGATCTCTGTCAAATTAATAAATAAAATCTTTAAAAAAAAAAGAAAAGAAAAGAAAAACTGGACATACTACCAAAGATATTTGCAAAAGGAAAAGCAATTCTTTATTGCATGGACACACATGGCACAAACAACCTTGTTACACAATCCAGTGGCTTCCTGCCCATCACTGCTCAAAAGCAGATGGGGAGAGCTGGAAAGGAGTGGAAGGGAGAGCATGCCAAGCACCCAACAAAGAGAGCTTGACCCTCTGGAAGCAGGGACTAGGGTTTGCTCTTCTGGCCCCTCTAGCCAGTCCTCCACTCAGCCTGGGAAGCGGGGAGGTGACGAGGGACATCTCTCCTATACCGGGCACTCAGACCTCTCTCTTGCGAGAAGAAACCACCTTCCCGTCCACTGTCTCCTCGACATTGATGCGAACTTTGCCGCCGCCACTGCCTCCCAGGGAGGCTGTAGGAAGAAGGAGCAAGCTTCAGAGTAGGGGACCCTCACTTTTCTCCCCCAAGGCAGCCAGGACCTGGCTAAGCTCAGGGAGAACTGGACAGCACCCCGGAGAATGGCCACTGGCCAATCCTTCCAGAGTGGCCAGGAGGTCTGGTGTTGAGTCACTCATCATAGAGGCAGCTGGTAGCAACAGTTATGCCCCGCAGTGAGCAAGAAAGCCAGGGATTTAACTGCAAGTGAACAGGAAGTGACTGGGGGCCTCTTAGCATTAAATGCAAGAAGGTGGGCCCTGGGTGGGCCCTGGGAAGATATTCCTTTGACAAAGCCTGCTCAGGCTGGAAGGTTCTCAAGAAATCTTTAACCCCCACTTTACTGGGGCTGATAGAGAGTGCCTGTGGAAGAGGTGTAGAATGGACGTATCCCCGCCCAACTGGCATGTTTGGTATCTTTCTCCTTCCAGCCCATTCCAGGGGGAATGGTGGCTTCAACAGCCCCCTTGCCACCCCACACAGGAAACGTGAAGACTTCTTACCTTCTCTGGCGCCAATGCCAGCCATCCTGAAAGAGAGGAGAAGCTGATGTAAGAGAAGGGCGTGAGCCCAGGTCTCTGGAAGGGAGTCCCCAGTGGCTGGCCAAGTAATCGTCTCCAGAGGCCCCCACCACCAGCTGCACATGTGACTTCTCTAGAGGCTGGGACATCCTGAAAGCCTGTCCACACCTGCCACCCTCGAGCAGATAGATTGCGGATCACACTAACACCCTATCTGCTTCCTTTTCGCTGTCCCACTGCTATCCGGGGAGGACCAGCCGGCCCCTCTCTCATCCCTCCCCCCTGCACCCTTGCCCCCACCTGGCGTCCTGGCCCTCCAGCAGGCTGCGGTAGGTGGCGATCTCCTGCTCCAGCCGAGACTTGATGTCCAGCAGCGTCTTATACTCCTGGTTCTGGCACTCCATCTCACTGCGGAGCTCGCTCAGCTGGGCCTCCAGGCTGCTGATGAGCCCCTGAATCTGCTGCAGCTGCGTGGCGTAGCGGCACTCCGTCTCGGCCAGTGAGCCCTCCAGCCCGGCTTTCTGGGGGCGGGCAGCAGATCGACAGACATCTTGTCAGGCCAGGAAAGAAGCTGCCACAGCATGTGAACCAGCGTTGAATGGAGGACAGGGGACCCCCTCGGCCAGGGCTTGGGAACCCAAGACTTAACCAGGCCTGGATGATGGGAAAGGCCAGGTGACACTGGGGCAGGCTGCGGCAGGCTGTGGTGAGCTGGGGGGCAGGTGGCCCTACCATGCTGAGCTGGGACTGCAGCTCGATCTCCAGCCCCTGCATCGTGCGCCTCAGGTCTGTGATCTCCGTCTTGCTGGTCTGGATCATCTCTGTGTTGGAGGCCACCTCCTTGTTCAGCTCCTCTGTCTGTGGGTCACACACAAGACCAGTGAGGCCCACAGGCATCCTAGGAGACCTGGGGAGCCGGGGCGGGGCTGCGAGGTCAGGCCCACCTTGCTGAAGAACCAGGCCTCGGCGTCCCGTCGGTTCTTCTCCGCCATGGCCTCATACTGCTCCCTCATCTCGGCCAGCACGCGGGTCAAGTCCACGCCTGGTGCCGCGTCCATCTCCACGTTGACCTGGCCGGCCAGCTGGCTGCCGTACTCCTTCATTTCCTGCAGGGTGGACAGGGCCCGTTTAGGGACAGAGGGCTGAAGGGAGAGCTGGGAGCCTGGACTCCCACAGGCCCATCCCGGCTTTGTCCCTAACTCACTGCACACCCTTCGTATTCCTGTGTACCCACCCCAGCCTCGGTTTCCTGCTGAAGATGAAGAGGTTCAATCACGTGGGCCCCTTGGCTCTGAGGGCCTCTCTTCCTTGCCGGATGCTACAGGAGGACCTCAAGACAGTGTAACCCCTGTCTGAGCTCATGACACAAATCAGGACAGCAGGTCACACTGGCCCCCTGGCCCGGCTATGGATCTGAGAAGGAAAGAGGTCTGGGTCCTCAAAGGATAATACCCCTTGTTCTCCATGGGGACCCCTGCTTTGGTGGAGGGGAGCATATCTGAACCACTAAGCCCTTCTGCTAACTAGAAGGAGGTGCCGGGGCCCCACTCTGCCTCCCACCTCCAGCAGCCCTGCCGACCCTCACCTCCTCATGGTTCTTCTTCAGGTAGGCCAGCTCCTCGTTCAGGCCCTCAATCTGCATCTCCAGGTCGGTCTTGGCCAAGGTCAGTTCATCCAGCACCCGGCGCAGGCCGTTGATGTCGGCCTCCACACTCTGGCGCAGGGCCAGCTCGTTCTCGTACCTGGGAAGAGAGAGGGAGCCCAGAGGAAGGAAGGGGCTGTTGGAGCTGCAGGAAGGAAAGAAGGCCGAGAAGGGGGTGGGGAGGTGGGGTATCCAGGAGGGGAAAGGAGGCAGGAGCGCACTTGAGCCTAAAGTCGTCCGCCGCCAGCCGGGCGTTGTCAATCTCCAGGATGACCCGGTTGTTGTCAATGGTGGCCGCCAGGATCTGCAGGAGACGGGGAGTCAGCACCTGGAGCAGTATTCTGTCTTTCCTGGTGTCTCCCCACCCTGTGCCCCAGGTCAGACCCCTGGCTGACAGTCTCCCCACTGACACCAGCCCCAGAAGCCTGTAGGCTCCCCAAGACAGGGTTCAGACGACCCTCAAGTACCCACGTGAGGTCTTCCTGCACGCCACCCTTCCTGGCTCCAGGCCGTGAAAGACCAAGGAATCCAGAGTGCCCAGACTCCCCCGTGGGAACTGCCTGGCCAGGAGGGATTGTGGTGGGGTTCGGGAGGCTCTAACAATAGCCCTCTCAGGGATAGTCCACCAGCCTGCCCCGGTCACTGGACTCCAGCACACCTGGACACAGCCATGGGCCCACAGAACATCCCACAGCCAAGAGAACCCCAGAGGGCAGGTCAGAAAGGCATGCTGCAGCTGAGGAAACTGGTCCAGGTGGGTTGGAAGGGTGAGTAAGTGGCTGGCAGAGCACATCATGAGTTCGAGGTGTTCTAAGCCCCAATACTGCTTTGGGCACCAAAGATATCCTCAAAGGGTGAGGCGGTGGTCCTGACCTTCAGGGCTCCTGAGGCAATACTTAACCGCTCTTACAAAAGAAGCAAAGGGGGACTGGATGCAGAGCCCTGCTGGCGTGTGTCACTGCCCCCACCTCGGACCCCCTAGTCCTGACCAGTCTCGGCATCTTCCCACACCGCCAGGTTGAGCGGATGTGTGCCGGCATCCCCACCAGGAAAGCATTCCCTGCTCTCCAAGCTATACACCGACACTCACTGCCCGGGCAGGAAAGTGTTTCCTTGAGGCAGCTGGAGCGCTGATGTTACAGACCTGGGCACGCACCAGCCACCTGCTCCCTTGTCGCGGACTCACCTTGTCGCGGAGCTCCTCAATGGTCTTGAAGTAAGGGCTATAGTCCCGCTCCGGGCTGCTGGGGCTCTGCTTCTGGTACCAGTCCCGGATCTTCACCTCCAGCTCCGTGTTGGCCTCCTCCAGGGCCCGCACCTTGTCCAGGTAGGAGGCCAGCCGGTCGTTGAGGTTCTGCATAGTGATCTTCTCGTTGCCAGAGAGGAGGCCGCCATCGCCACCACTGTAGTCACCAAAGCCACCGCCAAAACCCCCACCAAAGCCACCTCCAAGGCCACCCCCAAAACCACTACCAGCCCCTCCACCGAAGCCGCAGCTCATGCCACCCCCATAGCCCCCTCCTGACCCCGAGGAGACGAACCTAGCAGAAGAAGCCGAAATAGTGCGGCTTCCACCGCCCCCACAGAGACTCCCCCCACCAAAGCCGCCTCCCCCAACCCGGAGGGGGCCCCCCCTGGTAGAGCCACCCCCAAAGGTGGAGGAAGAGGTCTGCAGAAACGTGGTGCTCATGGCTGGGTGGTTGGTGAGTTCTCAGCAAGCACAGAGGCACCAGGCGAGGAGGAGGCTAGACTGAGAGCGGAGCGAGCACTGCCCCGTCACCCCCCAGCCTGGGGCTCCTTATATATACCCCTCCGAGGGGGTTGTGGGACCGAGTCTCCTCCCCCAAAGGGAGGCCAACTCCCTTGTTCAAACGGGACTGCCTGCACACCTCTTCAAGGCTGATGTGGAGTCTTTCTTTTTTTTTCAATGCAACAAAAGAGATGATTCAGAATGAATGGTGTTTTGCCCCCAGGGCCATGGTTTTAACACTTCCCTGGCAGGTATCTCCGCACTCTGGGAGAACACGGAGAGTAGCAAGTAGTGGGGAGAGTAGCGGGGAACAACACCTTGTCACCCCACAGCTCCCAGGCCTCTGACCGCAGGGGTGGAGCAGCTCAGGCCCCATCTGTCCTCACCAGACTTCTCTGCTGCCACCAGGCCAGGACCCTCCTCCCAAGACGGCCAGCTCCCCTCTCTCAGTTTGGGGAGAATTCTCTGTGTTGTCCCACTCTCAGACCCCATGAGTGAGCCTGCAGGGCCCAGGGACAGCAGTGGCCTGGGGTGGGGGGGGTTGTCGGGGAATGAGTTGGGGGAAGCACAGGGAGGCTTGCAGGGCCTCTGGGGACAGGCTGGGGGGGAGGTCATGGGTCAATTTCCAACTAAGGTGGTCAGAGAAGCCTACATATGTCACTTCCCTGACAGGTCAGGACTCTCCTCCGCCATGCCTCTTCCCCTTCCCCCCCACCCCCAGCCCCATTGCCCTGGCACTCTCACAAAGGCCAGGAGGCTCAGGGCTGACAAGGCGCTGATTGATAATCGCGCCACCTGCCAACCGCACATGTCCCTGAACCTTTGCTTGCTCCTAGGACGCACGTCGGGGCAAACCTCTGCAGATAAGACTGGAGCACAGTCCAGAAAACCCCTGCCTTCTCCAGAGGGAGGCATGTTCCTGCAGAGCAGGGCCACATGAACTCTGTCCCGTCAAGCGCTTTGGGGCTGGGGAGGGACCCGACCCCGAGGGCTCTATGTGCCTGAGTGTTGGGAGGGAGGATTCGGGGATGCCTGGCAGGCAGACTGGAAGACATCTTTTCTCAGAGAAGGACGCTGAGGCCAGAGAGGGGAGCTGAACGACCAGGGGCCGGTTTCAGGGATACATAATATACAAATCCTGGCCTGCCGGCACCGGCTCCAGGGCTCCGGGGGAGCCAGGGGCTGGGGAGGGAAGCAAGGCTGATCTGGAGAATCAGAAGGATACTTGGTCCAGGGCTGATGTGCAGGGACATACGTGGAGCTCCGGAGTCCCTCCGCCTCCGGTTCAAATCCTGGTTCCATCAGTTACTACCTGTGAAACCCTTGGCATGTTCCGGTGGCAAGGGGCACTCTCAGCTTCCACCTGAGGCCTGAGAGCCCCCAGCCTGCCTCCTCCTGCCTCCCTATCTTCTAAGGAAGCAGACGGTGGGGCTCAGGACCTGGGGTTCCCCTCTGAGCTGGGGTGGTACAAGAAGGAGCGCAGGCCGAGGTGAGTGGGGGTGGATGAGCTGGGCCTCTGAGCGCTGAGCGCAGACAGGGCGGTATTGTCTCGTGGGTGGGTGGGTATTGTCTTTTCCTCCGAAAGAAAAATAATCAAACTCAGATCAGCCACAGCTCATTAAAGCCTCTGCAGACATCACGGCCCCAGCAATTAATAAGGGAACGATTACACGCCATCACCCCAGGCTAAGCAAGGGCTGGGCCCCCGCCAGCCCTTCTTCTGCACCCTGACTCCCCTCTAGCACCCCTCGAGAGGTGGCTCTCATACACTATCTGGCATGGCAGCTGCCCCAGTCACAGATCCCTGTTTTCAATGCAAACAGCTCCTGTGAGCTCAAGGTCTTGGGCTCATTAGCCCCAGGTGGGGAGGCTGGGGAAGGGTGGGGACCCAGTTCTGTTTGGCTCCAGCCCAGGCTGCAGCCCAGGGCCCTGCCCCAGGCAGCACGCCCAGGACGTTGTGCCAGTTTCTGTCCTTGGCCCACTGCAGAGTGCCATCCCCAAGGCCTTCTCTCCTTGGGATGGCATGTGCAGCCCAGCGGAAAAGCCTGGGCTGGACTCCACCTCTGGGTGTGACTACCTCTCCGAGCCAGGTTCCCAACTTAATGCTGGGCCATCTTTCCACATATATGAGGGACTCAGGATAGTCCGAATGACAGAAGGAGTTAACTGTTTAACAGATTTAGAGTTTTGGTTTTACAAGATGGAAACCATCCTGAGCACGCATGGCAATGCTGGTGGCACCATATGTGAACGGACTTCAGGCCACAGAACTGTCCACTTAACCATGGCAGAGATGGTAAATTACAATGTGTGTATTACCGGAATACACAAAAAGACAATGGAGCCATTAACACTCAGTTTTACTGGGGGGTTCCAGTGAGCATCCAGTCACACACAGCGGCAGGGTCCTCGACATCCAGCCTCACTCCTCACTCCCTGGGGCCTGGATAATTCCTCCTCTATTAGGTATGTGGCTTTCTTAGTAATCCAGCTGCCGCTCTCAGCCTCAGTCTACCAATCTGGAAAATGGAAACAACCCCCCCCCACTTGCCTTGAAGGGGTAGAGGGATGCCTGTGACTGACAGGAAACGCTCTGCAAACTGAAGAGATCACAAGGACCAGCAAGGAGGGAAAGACCTGCCCCCTGAATCCTCTCCCCTTCTCTCTCCTTCCCTCCCTCTCCCTCTTCTCCATCCCAGCCTCTCTGTCAACAGGGCACCCCTGGTTTCAGCTCCTTAACTGAGACAGACAAGTGTCCCAGCCCTTGCCTCCCCCCACCTTCCCCCCCACACACACACACAAAGGAAGGCTTCATTCCTGACACCCAGACCTGCTACCCAGTCACCTGTCCCACCTGTGTGGGGCCCAGACCCCACCCCAGAGCCACATTCCAGGGGCCTCTGGGGTATAGGGGAGGGTTTCAGCTGTGACAACAGAGACTTTCATGAACTGGGGACAAGTATCTCTGGGCAGTCCCAGCCTGGGGGTGAGCCAGACCTCTAAAATTAAGCAGGGGTGGGGTGTGGCTGTGGGCGCCCGAGGCCACAGCAGAATAGCTAGGGAGGGGCCGAAGGAGCTCCTGGCCCAGGGAGGGAAGGAAGAGCTGGGCTCTGGAGTCCCCAGTTCTGTGACCTGAAGGAGTTAAGGAACGTCTCTAAGAACCACAGGAAAGTGGCAACAAGAGCGCCTCCTTCAGGATTCTCAGCACAGGGTACGACTGGATCTCAGCCTCCTTGGTACAGCGCTGGGCACACCTGGCGGCCACATGTGCCCCTCCAAGAGACCTTCCGGGGGCACGGGGTGCAGTGTTCCCCCCCAGCCTCTTCCAGCACAGGATCAGACAGATCCATGGGGCCTAACAGACCCACTCAGCCTGAACCTCTCAGCCAAGGGGAAGTGGGACTACTTATTTACCTTTAATTGGCCTCAGTTCTTGGCAGCTGAACTGTAAACCACAGGGGCAAGACCATACCCACACAAGGGCAGAGTTAGACCGAGAAGCTGGGACTTGGGTTCCTTTGCTGGCCTGGGACCAACTTCAGGCAAGCCAGGTTGGGGGTCTGTACGGGAGGTCTGGGTCACAGCTGGGTCCCGTTCCGGGCTCTGGGCCCAGGTATGAGCTGGTGGGTGTAAGGGGCTTCTGTGGGGCTGCCCAGGGATGGATGAATGTGTTGGTGCATGCACACACACACACACACACACACACACCAACAGGTATACCCTCTTCGGCTTTCTAAGTGGGAGGCCTGCCCCCATCACTCAGGCTCTGACCCACAAAGCCCCAGGCTCTCCTTCGGTAGGTGGAGGAATGGATTGCTAGGACCTGGCCCAGGGGACTGCAGTCCCAGACCCTCACATGGAGCAAAACTGACAGGTATTAAGGACCTGGCATAAGGTGCATCAATCCCAGGAGACTGGGGTATAGGGTGGCACCATCAGGAAACTTTGTTTCTGGTCCTGGCTCTGCCATTAAGTCACTGTGTGACCTCTGACAAGTTACTTACCCTCTCTGAAACTGTTTCTTGCTCTATAAGATGCTACTCATCTGAACTGCCTTTTAGGGTTGATCAAATGGTATATACTAGGTGCTCAATTAAGCATTCCTTTCAGACACACAAATATATACCAACCCTTGAGGAAGTGAAGTGGAGAGAAAACTAAATCTGAAGAGAAAAAAAAAAAAAAAACCATAGTTTCAAATCCTACCTTTGCCATGTTAGAAGAGTCACATATATAACAAACCACTTAATCTCTGACCCTTAGTTTACCCATCCATAGAAAGGGAGCGATGTGGGGTGCCTGGGTGGCTCAGCCTGTTGAGCTTCTAATTCTTGGTTTCGCCTCAGGTCATGATCTCATGGGTCCTGGGACCTGGCCCTGCACTCGGCACCGTGCTCAGGGGGATTGGATTCTCTCCCTCTGCCACCCCCACCCCAGTCATGCACACTACACTTGTTCTTGCGCTCTCCCTCTCTCTTTCTCAAATAAATAAATCTTTCAAAAATGGGCGGGGGCTGGGGGAGCAATGCTTGTTTCACAAGCCTGTTTTAAAGAACAGGTCAGATAGACAAAGAGTTCTGCAAACAGGAATTACCCTACCAGTAGCTGCTGGTGAGCACCCTCCCACCTTCCCCTGAGACAGACAGGGTGCACCCTGATCTAAATAAAACCAAAACAGGACCAAGAAGTTCTGGCCCATCTCTAACGGCCAAAAAAACAAACCCAACAACAGTCCTCAAGCCATAAAACTTTATTGGCAGGTCAGGGGGAAGAGTCAGGGGTAGGGTCCCCCCCCTCCCATGGCCCTACCCAGGGCTCCCCTCTGCAGTAGAGCAGGAAGCCAGGAGGTGCTGGACTCAGAGTGCCTTGGGGGTGGGCGGGTTGTCCTGGCCCTCCAGCAGGCTTCGGTAGGTGGCGATCTCCTGCTCCAGCCGCGACTTGACATCCATGAGCCGCTGGTACTCCTGGTTCT